TGCAAATTAAAAATCATACAGCTGGCGGGACACAGTTGGCACTGGAGGTGGGTGTTACAGTGTAACACCCCCAGGACTGTGAGTATGGTAGTACTGGACTGGAGGTATGTAGTGTTAGTATCTAAAAGCTTCACATATTAATATATTGTTTATTTCATGTTAGATTATATATTTGGTGCCTATGATGGGGATTTCAGTTAAAGGACCACTAATGGCACCCAGACCTCTTCATCCCAATAAAGTTATCTGCGTGCAATGGTCCTTTAGTTTTAACCCTGCAATGTAAAGTATTGCAGTTTAGTAGATACGTAGTGGATAGTGGCTGTCTACCTAGCAGCAGTTGTGTATTTAGGATTTGTGCTGCCCTAGGCAGGACGGTGCTTGGGCACCCTAATTTACATTTTTCCCCACCCCTTCCTGTCAAGGCTGCACTTTGACTGACAGATGCTCACTCACTGACAGACGCACACACTCATTGACAGAAACACGCTCTCATATACACTGACAAACAATGACATACACACACTCACTGATTTGACACACTGATAGACAGACATACACTATTACTCGGACACACACTAACAGACTCACACTCACTGACAGACGCACATGACAGACAGACATGACAGACGGACACACTCAAAATTCACTGACACACACACACACACACTCACTCAAATTCACTGACACACACTCACTGACAGACACACTCACATTTTCCCCACTCACAATTACTATTTTTTTTTTTTTTAAATATGAAATCCACCCAGTGGGGCTGCTGGGCAGGGAGGCGGCCGGACATGCGGGTGGCGAGCGAGCACTTTCCCCTGAGCTCTCTCTGCTCAGCTACCTCACGCGCCGTAGCGTGACGCTGGGAACCGGACGTCATATTCCAGCTCCTGGCATTACTGCTGGTCGCGCTGCCCAGGGAGCCCAAAGGTGGCTAGCCGGCCAGCTCTTGGGCTCCCATTAAACATGGCAAACAAGGTATTTGCCTGGGCATTTGGGGGCAGCATTTTTTTGCTGCCCCCTGGAAACTGCCACCCAAAGCAAATGCCTTGTTTGCCTCGAGGTAGACACATGCCTGCCTGGCAGCCATTAGTGGCACTGCCACTGTGAAAGCTCTGTTGTCACAGCTAACCTTCAATCAGAGCTAAGCGCTGTCATGCAAACACTTTTTACCTCCAATGCTCTTCTATGAGGAACACTGGATGACGCATTTAGAACTGTCTGTGTGACGTTGCAAGAGGCAGGTTAAGCGTCTAAAGAGACTCACTCTCGAAGCTGCCAAAAAACTTAAGATTTGGATAGCTGAATACATAATAAGAGGAGAACACTATAGTGTTCCTTTAAAATTAACACTTATGACAGGTTAATTTCAAAACTATAAACACAATACATAATATATATACTGGACTAATACGGCTAATCCAATATAATATATTCACACACACACACACACACACACACACACACACACAAGAATAACATATCAAGTAAAAATGTATGCAGAAGGAAATTAAAAATTGTATTTAGAATTTCTGATATGCTGCCAACACATCCTGCACCACTATTACAAAATAAATTGGCATTATATGTGAGAAGGCCATACATTAGGTCTAGGGCCAATTTTGTGTATTGTTTAAAGTTGCCAACAGGATGAAATTTTATCTTTAGGCTATTTACTGTATGTTTTTTAGTTACTGCCTCTGCTAAGTTAACTGCCTGAATATATGACTATTGTGGGATCAAACTCTACCATAGGCTTACTTATAAATTAAATTGGTGTTTAAAAACAATGGTGAGATAATGGTTAATGAGTTATTTAGATCGGTCTCCGTTATTGCTAATTATAGGACCATCACATTTCTAAAACTAGAATAAAATTTAAAGAAAACATATCTGTAAGCACACTGCCACAGTTGACTTTGCAAATATAGTTACATTTTCTAAAAATTTTCAAGACAGTTACAAAATAAGACATGTGCCAATTAGGTTTCACTGGAAATGAAAACTGTATCTTACTCCTTTAACCCCTTAAGGACCAAACTTCTGGAATAAAAGGGAATCATGACATGTCACACATGTTATGTGTCCTTAAGGGGTTAAAGAAGAGGGGGGGGGAATAGATGATGTCACAGTCACTACTCTGCAGCACCCATATCACCTATAACTAAAATGCTTAATTAATGGGTATATTTCAAAATGTATTATTAATAACCTGTAAAATCTGATTTGAAAAGCTGTGTAAAGAATGAATCAATACTGTAACTAGAGTAAACATACAGTAACATGGTTAATGTGTCAGGATATCAACATCTTGTAACAAAGCTTTTTTCTCAACTGCAAGACAAAAGGCACTACCTTAAGTAATAATAGTTAATATGCAAATGATAGTTGTGTGCTTGGGAAAAAGGACTATTATAGAATATTTTTTAAATCCATACTCACTGCTGCTGTTAACCACAAACAAATAGTATATAATTGTATTTATGATAAGATGCATTCCAGTATACAATAATGGGTATATGTTATATGGTCATTTAAACCAAGCAAGTGAACTAATCTTTTCCAAAGGGCATCATTTGCTCTAATTTCTAGACTGTATACCCTAAAACTATGAATCCAGTTATTGATATATTTACAGAGCCTCACTAAAGTCACTATCTCTGGAAGAATGACTGCATAAGTCACACAATAGGATAGGCATGAAATGAGACATAAAGAATTCAGGAGCCTCAAAAATGCAACACCATGAATGCCACAGAGGTGAAAACCACATGGTGTATGGTTTTCGCTCCCATGAAGTACATGGACCTAATCTATGTCCAAATGTCACATACACAATTATAAAAAAAAAATTTTCAAAAAAATCATCAATTAAATTGGACATATCTACCCTAACAAAACAGTGCTTAATATCAATATGGCTACGGCATAGGACTGCATATTTTAACTAACCCAGCCAAATTATGAATTCTTCAGCCATTAGATCACAGACATTCCTTTATTTATGTATAATGAATCCCACATGAAAACAATGTCAAACTAGCACCAATTGACAGCATCCAATATGCATGCATAAACACATCATTGCACATAGTGGAAGTCTGAATCCTTAAAACCCCAAAAAGGATTATGTGTGACCCAGTAATATATAGTTGGAAATAATAATAACAACAACAACAACAAAGCAGCCTGCAATTCTAACAGTTCCACAGCGGCGGCTGCCTTCTTGTTTCTGATTCCCACTTGATTTATAGCAAGCATTACCTAGCACAGTCAGTAGCTCCTTGGTGCCTGCATGATCCTATCAGTTGCCAATGCTTAGGGTTTTGTTGGAGCCAAGGCTGGAGAGTAGCATTCGCTTTGTTCTGCCTGCAGTGAATCCCAGGCAGCAGACAGCAAACCCAATCACAACATCCTCCTCTTAACAAGCCCTCCTTCCAGCTTCACTGAGGAAAAAAAAGTAAACCATCTCCCTCCAGAGACATGCAGGACCAGACCACCCCCTGGAACAGCTGCTGTCCACCCAACGACCCCCAAGAGCTGGTAGAAGAAGTTCCGATTATTTTGTAGCCCTTCCAGCAAGCTGCTGTGTACACCTCCCAGGCTGAAAGGGTTAAAAGCAATACAAGTCTCCTATGTAAATTTTAAAGCAACAGCTCCATCTGACTCAACCCTTCACATTAGCCGCCCGCAATGTGCAGGATTCCAAGATAGAATGTGTATCTGTAATTTACAGGAAGCTTGATAGACATGTTTCGGTCTGCTAGTGTTATTATTATTAGCACCTATAGACTGGGTATAGGGGGAGACAGGAAGCAGTGGTTAAGTAACAATGCAGTAACTGCCATCTCAGACAGCAATGCTTACATTTCCTGGACTTTGACAAGTACTTTCTTCACTTATTGAGATGGCATCCTGGAACACAAACCCTCAGTGTCTGCTGTGGAGTCCAATCCCCACAATGCTCAGGCTGCTCATGGTAGGCGTTCCTGACAATAGGAAGTCTATTTCTGTCCCAAAACAGGGGTGCTACCATAAACACAGCTCACTTAACTGGGGGAGCACAGTGGGAGAAGCAGGGCTGAGTGTGAGAGCATTGAAAGGCACAGCGCTGCAGGTCTAAGCTAAGCTCACTCATACCTTCCCTGGCTCTGAGCACCGGCAGGATGCACTAAGCAAGGCACAGCAAGTCTCTGCAGCACACAAGCCTCCACCAGTCTGCCTTATTATATAAACAGTACATTGGCTTCAACACCCAGCCAAGCCCTGCAGTTCTCACTTCCCATTCCCAGACCAGGGAAGCGTTCACGAGCAAATCCATGGTGTGAAGAAACCAATGTTGGTCACAGTGCTGGCTGACAGTTCATGTGCTTAGAGCCAGATCGTTAATCAGGCATAATACAGTAATAAGAAATGAGACTCACCAGATCTGAGGCTTGCTGCTTGTATGGCTTTTATCCAGTCCTGTGTAATGTGTGATAGCTGCCTGTAATGCCCCTCTCCAGTCCTGTGTAATATGTGATAGCAGTCTGTAATGCCCCTCTCCAGTCCTGTGCAGGTACAATATGCTCTCACTATGTCTGATAAGTCTGTATTGCCCCTCTCCAGCCCTGTGCGGGTACAGGAGGCTCTCACAACGCCTGATAGCAGTCTGTATTGCCCCTCTCCAGCCCTGTGCGGGTACAGGAGGCTCTCACAACGCCTGATAGCAGTCTGTATTGCCCCTCTCCAGCCCTGTGCAGGTACAGGAGGCTCTCAAATAATGTCTACTAACAGAGTATTTAGTTGTGTATGGGCTGGTCTTTTGACTTCTCTCGCTCGAGTTAAGGCAGAGGAAAGGGGTGTTGTTGTTTATGTTTTAAAACTTAGCAGCGACGCCAATAAAGGAGAAGTAAATCATGACCTGATCATGTCTCAATAACTAGCCACAGTTGGGTACTTTTGTGTATTTTGTTTAATTGCCCACTTTAAACAGTGTTTACATTCTCTCCACAGATATAGCCATGGATGAATTATATTTAAATGAACACTCTAGTCACCTAAATTACTTTAGCTAAATAAAGCAGTTTTAGTGTATAGATCATTCCCCTGCAATTTCACTGCTCAATTCACTGTCATTTAGGAGTTAAATCACTTTGTTTCTGTTTATGCAGCCCTAGCCACACCTCCCCTGGCTATGATTGACAGAGCCTGTATGAAAAAAAAACTGGTTTCACTCTCAAACAGATGTAATTTACCTTAAATAATTGTATCTCAATCTCTAAATTGAACTTTAATCACATACAGGAGGCTCTTGCAGGGTCTAGCAAGCTATTAACATAGCTGGGGATAAGAAAATCTTAAAGGACCACTCTAGGCACCCAGACCACTTCAGCTTAATGAAGTGGTCTGGGTGCCAGGTCCTTCTAGGGTTAACCCATTTTTTTATAAACATTATGAATGGGTTAAGCCTTCCCCCTAATCCTCTAGTGGCTGTCTCATTGACAGCCACTAGAGGCGCTTGTGTGCTTCTCACTGTGATTTTCACTGTGATTTTCACAGTGAGAGCACGCCGGCATTATGAATGCTTTCCTATGTGACCGGCTGAATGCGCGCGCAGCTCTTGCCGCGCGTGCGCATTCAGCCCAGGAGGAGGAGAGAAGGAGGAGAGCTCTCCGCCCAGCGCTGGAAAAAGGTAAGTTTTAACCCTTTCCCCCTTCCAGAGCCGGGCGGGAGGGAGTCCCTGAGGGTGGGGGCACCCTCAGGGCACTATAGTGCCAGGAAAACGAGTATGTTTTCCTGGCACTATAGTGGTCCTTTAATTAAACAGAACTTGCAATAAAGAAAACCTAAATAGGGCTCTCTTTACAGGAAGTGTTTATGGAAGGCTGTGCAAGTCACACGCAGGGACGTGTGACTAGGGTTCATAAACAAAGGGATTTAACTCCTAAATGGCAGAGAATTGAGCAGTGAGGCTGCAGGGGCATGTTCTATTCAGCAAAACTGCTTCATTAAGCTAAAGTTGTTCAGGTGACTATAGTGTCCCTTTAACTCTTGCAGCACTCATCAGCTTAAACCGTAAAAGGTTAACCCAATACAAAGGGTGTATATATTGCATATTTTAGCACAATGCAAACTAATGTTGCCATCTAAAGATACTTTGTTACCTACCATGTACTTATTTTATAGTTAGTCACTGAGATTAGACAGGGGCCATAGGACCTTAACTTGGTCCCATTAAAGGAACACTTCAGCATTAGGAATACATATCTGTAGCCCCGATTCTCCTTGTAATTTAGGTTTCCCTGTAAATATAAAAACAAAATAAATAAAATGAACGAATCACTCACCCTTTCCCCAGCGTTGCGTCTCCCTTGGCGTTGCCGCAACCTTCTCTTGGAATTATGTCATTCTGGAGGCCTGCCTCCTGGAGGACGGTCCAATCCAATGCTCTTCATCTCTTGGGCACCTTAGGCACATGCGCAGTGTGTAATATAATAATTCTCTATGGCCGACCACACTGCATGCATGATATCACGGTATGTTACAGTATGAGAACCAGAAAGTAAGATTCTTTCTCTCATACCCACAGGACTTGGAGGTATGACTTGAAGCTGTGCTTCCAAACCCTCTAATTATTTTATTACATGGTTTGGGGGGGTAGGTGGCCAGGCATAGAACAGGGCATTGGGGGCTAATAATAATAAATGGCACATTTTAGACTTGGGGCCTCCTCCTCCCTGGCGACACCAATGGTGCCCTCTTTCTGTCTCCGTTTCCTGGCATTGTCGCTGTGCACCCTTTGCACCTGCCAAGGATCACCCCTGAAGCATCCCTATTTGAAGAATGAAAGAGGGGTCCCAAACTGGTAACCTGCCTAGGGCCTTGTGGAGTCTTTTAATCCCTCTCTGCTATTATGTAATAAACAAATGGGTGTACCGATCTTGTATGCTGCCCTGCCCTTCTTCTGTGTATTAACATTACAATCCTGTAGTGCTTTACAGGTATTTGGGTGTGTTCTGAATTGTTCCTATAAGTTGGTTCACTGTGTATATGAATGCATATAATGCGACATAACAGGTTTGTTTATTTTTTTAATGTCTGCTTCTGTGATTGAAAGTGACAATCTATGCATCAAAACCATTTTATTGCATTGCAGTAGTTATGGTACCTGGAGACCCCTGATGCCAACTCACTGTTCAATGTAAACGGATTTGATTGGTCCAACTCAAACGTTGCCCCAAGTGAATGTCCCCAAGCACATTAGCCAAATTATAGTAGCGATAGGCATTGATGGGGGTGTCTAAAGCCCCAGATGTAGGGCTTTTTAGCCCTGAATCTATACAGTTGGTGGCGAGGGTAGGATAACATTAGTGCTTGGTTTTTTTTGTTTTGTTTTTTAAATCAGGCAGGAGCTTCTCAAAGCAACCAATTATTATAAAAGGAAAGATCAGTAGGATAGCACAGCATGGAACTGCTTAGGGGGAGGGCGTGCCAGGTGACAGTCGGCAGGGCATATTGCGGACAGAACATTGCTGTACATAGTTAGTAATGTGCGATTACATGTAATACATGGCTGTGCAGCATATGCTTGTTTCTGGCAGTGAGATCCTGGAGACCAAATAATACTAGGCTAGCATTGCAAGGAAATGATAGACAGAGAGCCTTCTGCTGATATTTTCAGCTATCAGTGCTGACCATTGCTGCTTGAGCTGATGATTTTATTAAAGGACACGGAGGCTCTTATTAGGCTTATCTCTTTCTTTTATTCCTCAGCAGCAAAGAAAGCTAAGGTGTTTATTTGTAGAAAAAAAACATACATAAATACCCTCACAGGGTTAACCTTACATCATTATCTCTTAACCAATAGGAACAGTCCATCTCTGATATCCTCTCATGTAACCTCCTCCTCTTCCTCTTTCTTTGCTGCTGCCTCAGCTAAGTAACACCTTCATTTTTTCTTGATATGCATTGCTTAATTTGATTCTGTGATTTCTGTTGATTCTGTGTTGTTGCTGCAGTATAATCTCCTGACTACTCTGTTTTCCCTCCCACCCTCAACCCTCCTGTGGGTTCACTCAGTGGGGGTGCCCCTCCCACGCATCCCCGCCGGTTCCCCGACCCCCAGGGCGGGTATACCGGCCGTTCACCTCACTATCGGGTAGTTTATTACCCGTCCTCCCACCCGCGGCACTCGGGCGCTGGGCGCAGGGAAACCCCTGGGAACGGTTCAAACTGTTCCCTGACTGGGTTTTTTCCTCGGCGCCAGTGCCCGCGAGTGAGTGCCGCGCGCGCATGCGCATTTCTAGCCGCGACCCGCGGCGGCCATCTTAAAGGGGCGGCAGACATAAATTTTGCCGCTCTTTTTTCCCCCTCAGCTCGCTCAGCCCAACAAGAAGGGGCGAGCTGATTGGTTTAGAGGCCTGCCTGTCAGCTTACCAGTGCTCCCAGAGGGCATTCCTGAGGGAACACTCGGTAAGCTAACAGTGCAGCCCTTTTTTCTGTCCTGTCTTTGCCTTGTCTGACTGTCTACCCTGCCCTGCAGTGTGTAATTAACAGCCACAGTTTTTACTGCCAGACTGTGTGAGTCCCATTATCCTGCCACTAAGTATCTAACTATGCAGACCCCTAGTGAGCACCCTGTCTCTGGCCCCAGTGATGGTGAGGACACCAACGCCCGCCACCAGACCAAGCTGTCTGAACCCCTAACCCTCCAAGGGGATGCGGTGGCTCCGCTGGAGCAGCTGGACTCGCAGGAGTTCCACTCACTCCTGGACGCCACCATGTCACGGTCGGTCACCCAAGCGATTTATTCTGCAATGGGGGCTATGTCTGACAATCTCTCTCACTCCATCACTACTGCTCTTAAGGCATCCACCACCAATTTGCCCCGCGCTAGAGCCGTGGCAGACGGGTCATTACGCAGGGAAGGCCGGAAAGCCATAAGCAAAACCCATCACGTGCAAACTCCTACCTCCAAAAAAAGAATTGACGGACAGGGTACGTCCTGTCACCGCTGAGGTCGTGGGGCCCCCACGAAAGAGAGCCACCCGCCGGGCAAAAGCGGCGCGGACGTGGAAGAGGGCAAAAGCCCTGTCAGATTCTTCCGACACTGATTCGGATAGTGAGGAGGTTTTGAACGAGTCCGACGAGATCGACTCAAATGAATGGGAGGTCTCCTCCCCGGACCATAGTCCGTCACGAGATCCAAATACCCTAAGGTATGATAACGCGGATTCGTCGGCCATTTTGGATCCACAGGGCGAACCTCTGTTCGATCCCGATACATTACAGAACCCTAGGTCAGCAGAGTGGTTCCCAACTGAGCATGTGGCACGCTACATAGCAGCCAGAATCCGTAAGCCTTTAGATAAGGCCACCAGGAACAAGTTGCGGGCAGAATGCCCACGGCCAACAGTCCCCGACATGGCCTGTGCCACGCCGGATATAGATCCCAAGGTAGCACAGTTCCTGGGAAAAACTGGCTGGAAGGCAAAGAAGGGATTGGATTACTCCCTACGCCACTGCCAGGACAAGGTACTCGATACACTCGGCCCTAGTGCCAAAATCTTCGAGCTGGTTGAAGCAGCCCTAACTGAGGGGGCACCGTTAGATTTGCTAGCCATTAGAGGCTGGGCCCAGAGGTCCATTTGCCTCATCGGCAACGCTAACGCCGCGCTAGCCACTGAGCGGCGCAAAACCATTCTTATGAAAATTGAGCCCAAGCTCGTAAACATGGCCCTCACCGAACCGGGGCCACAAGCCAAAGGTCTCCTATTCGGAGACAATTTCGTTAAGGAGTTAAGCACTTACGTAAGCACGTTTACGGCCCTAGACAAGGCACAGACAAGCATAAAAAGAGTGTTCTCTCCCAGAGTTTTTGGTGGGGCCGGCAGACACCGGGGCCGTCTGCCCGGCCGTTCATCCCGTGGTTCATACCGGGGATACCGAGGTC